GTCTCCCCTTGCCGGTCTCTGGGGAGGATTTCTTGGATGCAGGACTCGTTGCCCCTTTCCGGTTGCTGCCCAGCATCTTCTCCTCACCCAGCACCCGCTGCTGCTCCTCCTCGGGCAGGCTCTGGTGGCACGAGACAGAAGAGGTGGTGAGATGGCCCCACACGGACAGGGCTTGGGTGCCGGCAGCGAACAGGAACACCAGGGAGGGGAACTAATCCACTCCAAAAGCCACCCCACCATCGGGCACTGCAGGGCTGGGTGTGCAGCCTGGGGGTCCCCTGCCTGTGTCACCCCCCCTTGTTGGGCAATGTCCCTCCCTGGTGCAGCCTCGTCTCCTTCCTTTTAGCAAAGGGAAGGTGCCTGGTTCTGGATTATCCACCCCTTGTCCCTGCAGATGCAGCCGGGGCTGTGTCATGTCTGCCCAGGGATGGCAACCAACAGCACCAACCCTGGATCCCCTCCCAGTGCCCAAGTGGAAAACCCAGGCTGGGCCTTAGCGCAGCTGAGGAAGGGTCAAAACTGTGCAAACATCTCTGCACAGCACCCATGGGTGGGTTAAGCCATGTTTTAGGGGAGCAGGAAAGGGCAGCAATAGAGCAGCCCCTGTTTAACCCATCTCTAGACTGAGATGAGGATGCTCTTCCCTGTGAGGGTGCTGAGGTGCTGGCACAGGGTGCCCAGAGGAGCTGTGCCTGCCCCATCCCTGGCAGTGTTCAAGGCCAGGTTGGACACAGGGGCTTGGAGCAACCTCCTCTAGTGGAAGGTGTCCCTGCCCGTGGCAGGGGTTGGAGCCAGATGAGCTTTAAGGTCCCTTCAACTTAAACCAGGCTGGGATTCTATGACCTGAGCCCCCAGCCAGGGCTCCCTCCCCTCACTCGGGGTCTCCAGCACCCCATGGCTGAGCCGCCCCATCACTCACCTCCAGGAAGCGGAGCAGCTCGATCTCATAGTCTTTCTTTTTCTGGAAGGGGATGGAGACGTGGTCACACACAGATCCCCTGCCCCATCTCTGCCTTGTGCAGTCCCTGAGCCACCCCCACCCCCCTCGGCCACAGCATCCTCCACCCAGACCATCTTCTGGTCCCACAGACACACATGGGGACACAGGTCCAAGAGAGGAGACCATCAAGGAATTCATGGTCACGATGACAAGAAGAGGCACTGAGGAAGGACGAGGGGCTCATCCATAGCCCAAGCTCTTCCTCCCTCCCCAACAGCACTGGTGTCTACCCATCTGTCCTCCCGTCTGCCCATCCTCAGCCACTCACCTGGTCACACTTTTTGTGGTAGGCGTCCTTCTCCTTCTGGGAGAGCAGCTTCCACTGCTGGCTGCACAGCACCATCCGCTCCGTGCTGGGCACATCTTTCATGTTGGCCATCAGCTCTGCACAGTACAGGGAGTAGCTATTCCTGCAACCAACGGAGGGACCCAGCGTTGGGGACAACCTGCCCTGCTCAGGAGCTGGCTGGGTGCTAAAAGCCCCCCAGGGTGGCTGTGCCAGAGGTGTTTGAAGTTTAGGGGAGCTCTGGGCTGGATTCCCCCTTAACCCGGCGCAAGCAGCATCCCCATAAACCTCGCTCAGATTCTCTGCAAACAGGTATTTCATGTCTATTAAGGACCAGTGTGTTTAAGGACCAGGCTGATGGGCTCGTGAACATGGCCCCAGGATTATTTGGGCTCTCAAAGCCAGGCAGAGCCTCAGTTTCCTTGTCAGCGAGAAGCAGCATCTGCCAAGTGACCACTAGGAGAGGGATGGATCCCTCCCGTGCAGACAGGGAGTGACAGGACTCACGGAGGTGGCTTTGTGGGTCGTCCATCAAACTTGTCCTTGAGCTGGCGTTCGGCCTTGGTGAGGGTGGAGCGGGTGATGCCCTCCTCGCTGATGTTCAGCTCTGGGTGCTTCTGGATGTAGTCCCGCATGATCTCCTGTAAAGGATGATGACAGTGGTCAGGAGAGGGGCTCGATCCCCGCCTGGCTGGGGCCAGAGAAGGAGGAAAGAGAAGCCAACCATCGTCCTAACCGTCTCCCAAGGGATACTTCTCCCTTTCCCCACACACGGCTGGAGGAGGCAGGGCTCAGACTCACTAGTGACCTGCAGGGATCTGCCTGAAGCCCCACACTGGCTATGGGGTGAGGCTGGATGGCCTCGGAGTGAACGCAGGGACGAGTGTGGAGGGGGACGGGTGAGGCTGCTCCCTACCTCGTACTCCTTCCGCTGTTCCAGGGCCTTATGAATCCATTTCAGCCTCTTTTTATCCGAGAGTTGAGACCACTGCTTGCCCAGCGACTCTTTCACCTCCTTCGTGGTGGCCTGAAAACCCAAAGCCAGAGGTGAGGGCAGAGGGAAAAAAAAAACCCACAAAAAGGGGGGATAAAAAGGTCCAAAAATAGCCGAGCCGAGCCAGGCCGGGGCCGGGGCAGGGGCTGTGTGTGAGTGAGGGGCATGGCCAGAGGTGTGAAGTCTGTGCTGGGAATCTTTCCTGCCTGCCTCAGGCTGTGGTCACCCCTTCAAACTGCAGGCAAAAAGTGTTGGGGTCTGTACCCCCTGAGCCTCTTCCAGCTGTGCAGAGCCCCTCCTTACCTCCAAATAGCCGAGCCGAGCCAGGCCGGGGCCGGGGCAGGGGCTGTGTGTGAGTGAGGGGCATGGCCAGAGGTGTGAAGTCTGTGCTGGGAATCTTTCCTGCCTGCCTCAGGCTGTGGTCACCCCTTCAAACTGCAGGCAAAAAGTGTTGGGGTCTGTACCCCCTGAGCCTCTTCCAGCTGTGCAGAGCCCCTCCTTACCTCCATCCAGGCTGCAGGGAGCTCCCAGCGATGTCTTCCAGCCCGTCCCCCCCCTAAAATGCTTCTCGTTTCCCCCTCCTCTGCCCCAGCAGCGGGGCTCAGGACCCTCCACACTCACACTCTCACGCACTCCCACCCACCGTACTCACATCTGGACGCACTTTCAGGTAGATCTTCTTCTCGTGGTTGTACCACAGCTGCTGAGGGGTCTTGGGCTTCTCAGGGACGTCTGATTTTTTGGCATTCTGGATGAGATCTGGGTGATCTTCCCTTTACCCGGCAGGGAAGGGAGAGCGTTATGGAGGATGCAGGTGGAAGAACACCCCCTAAACCTCCCCAGTGAGGAGTAACTATCACTTCAGGGCTGAGCTTCAGATACTGGGGGGGTCCAGGAGGATTTTAGGAGAGAGTCTGCCCCTCCTGGGGGAGCACCAGCTATGAGCATCCCCTTCAGTTCATCCCTGGAGCAGCCGCAGGGCACCAGGAATGTCAGGATCCACCCTGATCACAGCAACCACCTTCGAAGGGAAGGTCTGGAGGGAATGGGGTGGTCACTTCAGCTTTGAGCAGGGCTGGGGGCAGAGCTCCTGTCCTCCCCTTGCAGCCCCCAGAGCATGACTGGTCCCTCTTGCTGAGGGGCTGCTCTCAGGTGCCTTTTCCTTGCTCTTTCTTTCCAGCATCCCTCCTTCCCTTCTGCCTTCACAGTGCCCAGCAGGGCTTCCTGTGAGCTACACACAGGAGAGGAGACCAGGTCTGCCTGGAGGGGCCTGGGGACTGTCCACTCACCTGAACCTTGCCAGGTTCCTCTCAAACTCCTGCTTCTCCCGCTGGAAGTCCTGGATGTATTTCATCTGGAGACACAAAGCCACCAGGACGGTGGGGATGGACGTCACCACCGGGCAATGTGCAGGCAGATACATCCCTGTGACCCAGCTCGCTGGGCAGCCCACCACCCCCGAAGGGACTCGAGGGCTCTCCAGCCCATCAGACTGGTCCTGCAGCTCCAGGGTGAAGGTTTCCACCCTGGCCAGGGATGCAGAGGCAGAAGCTGACCCTCTCCCTGCACCCGAGCAGCCCTGGGCAAGGAGGCACAGCAGGACTTTGCGTCTTGGACCTTTCCTGCCGGTGGCAAATGTACCCGGACTGAGCGTTGCGGCACCCAAAACGCCTGCCAAGGCCATGGTCAAGCTGGAGGAGAGATGGGCAGGTCTCCTCCAGCATCTCCAATGGCTCAGAGCAGATCCTGCCCCTCCATCCCTTGCACAGCACAGTGTGTGATTGAACCCCAGAGTCAAACACAGATCCACCCAGCAGCCAAGTCACCATCCACGTCCGTCTGGAGGAGACAGACCAAGGGACAGCCCCAGCCAGCCTCCGCCCCACGGATCCTGGGAACCAGGGCAGGAGAAGCAAAGGAGGTCCTACTGGTCTGACGGGACTAAACAAGCACTTGGGGTTCTCCCATCCAGAGCCTGGGCTCTGCTGGTCTGGCTGGGAAGGCTGGGCAGGCAGAGCCCCGCACGCAGAGGAACACATGTAGGAAGGGGCTCACTGACTCCCCCCCTGTACCTTTTTCTTCTCGGGAAGCTCCTTGTATTTCTTGGACAGGATCTTGGTGAGATCCAGGTTGCTCATTTCGGGGTGAAGCTTGGCGTATTTAGCCCGCTTCTCCATGAAGAAGCGGAAATAGGGAGTCAGGGGCTTCTTGGGGAAGTCAGGGTGTTTCTGGGGAGACAGCAGAGCGGCACACACTGAGCATGGAGCTGGCACAGCCAGACCCCACCAGCTCCCCCCAGCACTGGGGGAGACCTGCCTCCAGCCAGCCCTGCAGCAGTCCAGCTCCCTGCCACGGGAACAAGAGCTCCCTTCCCTGGGAACTACGCTATCCCAGGGCTGGGAATCCCAGGAGCAGCCCCCAGACAGCCAGAGCACTTGGCACAGGGTGGTTGTGCTGCAAGAGGGGGAAACTGAGGCAGCAGGAAGGGGATGGGGCAGAGCATCGGCACCCTGGGCCATCCGACCCGGCAGCCAGGAATAGGCCGGCAGCTTTCCGGGCCCCCCCGGTGCTAAACTTGGATGCAGCAGCACAGTGACCATGTTACATGTTCCCTGCGCTTGGCCAGGGCCCAGAGCCTGCGGCCTCGGGAGCCCAGAGCAGTGGCTCAGGGATTACAGCAGTGAGGTGCCCGCAGGGGCTCTGGGGGCTGAGCCACCCGGGTGACAGATCCCGTCCAGGGGAAGGGGGACATCCCCCTTTAGCATCCGACCCCAATCCCTGCCTGATACCTTCAGCTTTTTGCCCTTGTAAGGATTCTTCACATGCTCTTCAGCATCCATAATGAGCTCCGTGAGGGTCCGGAACTTCCTCACCTGCAGGGTAGTGAAGGACACAAGTGTGAACAGGTAAATTCCTGCTTGGCATAATCCCACAGAATTCCATAAGAGCACCATCCCAGCACCACTGAGGGGCTCCCAATGCCAACAGCAGTGGGATGGCAGCAGCACTAAAAGCTGAGGACTTAGGGAGCCAATTCCAACAGCCCTGGAATGGCACCGGGATACTCTGTCCCCCTCACAAACCCCCCTGACCCCCCCCCCGCCATCAGGTACCTCATTAGAAATCATCTTGCACATTTCCCCCGAGAAGTCCTTGAAAGCCACTTTCTCCCAATCCAGGTGGGACTCGGTGGTTTTGAACTTGCTCCCGTCATTGGAGGGCAGGTTGTTTTTCATGCACTCCAGCAGAGTCAGCATGTCCTCCTGAGACCAGCGGTCTGAGCAGCAAAGAAACAGGCTTAGGAGCAGGCACCATTCCCGGCC